ACTAGCAAGAATGTGATGCCACAATTTATCTTGTTCAACAGGAAGGAAGCCCCTAAGCCATTTGATTCGGAGGAACTTGTTCTGTAAACTAGGACTGAAGTGCTAAAATAGGAGGGAAACAATATTCCGATTGATCATAACTTCCATTTGAGAACAATAGATCAGAATCTTTTTGCTGTAGACTAAAAATTTACTGATTAAATTTCTTGATGTGTATGCTAGTGTTAATGGTAAGTTGGTAATAGTAACATATAACATTCAATAGCCAAGAGAAAATGGTGCATATGTACCAAAATTAATATAGTTTATAACACTGCAAGAGGTATCGTATCATCTTTTATCCTATGGATTCCAGATTTCATTTGAGTTTTGATGATTCCTATTGATTACTTCCATTTTGTTTGATTAGTAACATGTCCATACTGATTAATTTTTGCAGGTACGAGCCACTGTCTCCTTTGCTTGGGAATGAGTATTTTTTTCATGCATATGGTCCAATATATATCCTTTCTGCGGATGTTGTTGCAAGCTTGGTTGCTCTTAAAAATAATAGGCAAGTTTTTTTCTCTAAAGCTTCCAACCTTTTGTGGACTTCAAGTGTTCATTTCGTTCTTTAAACCTATCTCCAGCGTCTGTTGAGGTTATTGAAAGTGAGTCTCACGTTGGTTAATTTAGTGGAAAATCATGGGTTAATAAGTGAGGAATATTATCTCCATTGGTATGAGGCATTTTGGGGAAGCCCAAAGCATAACCACGAGAGCTTATTCTCAAAGTGGACAATATCATACCATTGTGGAGAGTCGTGATTCCTAACATCTAAATACAAAGTTGACTAGTCTGTAGTATTTGTAGTATTTGTGGAGCCTGTACTTGTCACATGAGTTGATTGCTTTCCAAGTTTTATCAACCATACTAGTGTCGATATTGATCTTCTTGCATTGGTCTCTTCTTTTCCCATTCGTCTGCAATTTTTGAGTAAAACGTGCAATGGTAACTTAAGATTTCTACATTTCTCCGAGCATGGAATTTCTCATTTGTGTCGTTGTCGCCGAGAAAGCAAGTCATGATATTGAAAAGAGAGTAGTTTGATATTTTGGTTTGTTGTTGTCTGTTTCAATCTCTGTGTTGCATATAATGTGTCCAATTTCATGAAAATTGTAGTTTCCGGATGTTCAGCAATGAGGATGTAACAATAGGCGCTTGGATGCTCGCTATGAATGTTAATCACGAGAACGAAAAAGCACTCTGTGAACCGGACTGTACGCCAACATCTATTGCAGTATGGGATATTCCCAAGTGTTCAGGTTGGTATTGTAGTGCTAACCACTATATCAAACACCTTACTGTCATCATCTAGCAACTTGTGCTAACCACTATAAGTCGTTTTAGTTGTCGATAAGAACTAACGTAATAATTAATGGCTTAGAGGAAATGAGTATAAGCCTCGGTGATGACCTACCTAGGATATATCCTACAAGTTTTTCTAGCAACCAAATACAGTAGGAATACAAAAGTTGTCTGGTGAGAATAATTGAGGTGCTTGTACGCTAACTTGAACAGTATCTTGGATATCGATTCGATAGATCTTTACATTTTCAAATCAAATGCTAACTTTTCAAGTGAAACTTGAAAGATAATTTATACTGTGACATTTAACATTGGCTTATTTGCAATGGAATATCAATCATTACACCATTGGATGAGAAGTTTGAGCTGGTTTCTGAAAAGATTGTCCTGTAAAATCAATGTTTTATTCTTCAGGACTTTGTAATCCAGAAAAGAAATTGTTGGAACTTCACAATCAAGAAAGCTGTACAAAGAGCCCTACCTTAGCGTCTGATGATGATTCATGAGAATCCCCGTTTCTCAGGGGCGTCGAGCAGCGCCCGCCTGGGAGCTTTCTGTTTAGTCTCCCGACCATATAACGTCAGTTTCACCCCCTTTAATCTTCTGAACATGTATTTTTAGAAAAGATATCTATCTGATTTGATTGCATATTCTTCCTGGTTCCAGGGGGTGGGTTTAGAAAGAAAGCTATAGTATATGAACAGATTAGTTCTTTAGGCATCATTTCATTCTTTCATTCACTTTGCCCACCTTCTGAAACCCATTTTGTAACTTACTTTCTGTGAAGTAGATGGAACTTTACCATTGCATTTCTTTATAGAGTTACAAAGAGAATGAACAAAATTGTTCGAGGTTCAGGTCTAGGTGATGACTTGTGGCTTAGGAACAAGGCTACTGTGGGATCTCACATCGATTGGGGAAGGGAACGAAACATTCTTTACAAGGGTGTGTAAACCTCTTCCTAGCAGACACGTTTTAAGAACCTTGAGAGGAAGCCCAAAAGGGAAAGCTCAAAGAGAAGATAATATCTGTTAGCGGTGGATACAATAGGGCAACCAAAGGGTAATCTTTTCTGATTATTGTTATTATTTGTGAATTATTAGAAAATGTAGAAAGCAACCAATATCTTAATGGATTTGGAAATCATTAATGTCGAAGTTGAATGGAGAGTGCAACTCAAGGCAACCAAGTGGAAATAAGAGGTCTGCTTAATGATGAGATCAATCATTTGCTCATTCTATATACAAATTATGCCCCCATTGCCCCTTTTTTAGGGTCATTTATATTAAATTGGAGTAGGAATTGTATTTGATTTTTAAATTTAAATATTCAATACTTTAATTCCTATGATATGAAAAGTGGTTCAGTTGTAACCATCATTTTGCTCTTTTAAGTTTTTGAAAACAAAAAAAAAAAAAAAAGGTTTTTTTTTTTTAATCTCGAGTTGAAAATTTTCATTTTTTTTTTAATCTCGTCAAAGTAAGCATAACTTAGCGGTAATTGCCATGTACTACTTGTAGAAGTCGAATGGACAATACGACAAAGTAAAAGCTAGCAACTTGATTTTTCATACTTCTTGTTTGCTTGAAGCTACGACATCCCACGAATCCTATCTTACTCAAATTCTCATACTTGACTTATTGTACTCATATATAGATCTTTGTATACTCGAATCTTATCTTAGTGATCAATCTTTCTTGTTTGCTTGAAGCTAGCGACTTGGTGAGTAGAATAGATAAAGCGACAACAAGAAAGCCGCACTTTATCGACGGTAATAATGGAGTAAATAAATCTTTTAACTCAATTCCGAAATATAATTGTAATAATGTAAAGTGGAGATTGTTATGTGTGTTTAATGAGGCACAGGTTTGCTCGTGGCATTTATGAAAACATCAAACTCATTGAAGGAAGATTTTGGCAATAATTTTGGAAAATCAAGTGAATTGGACCCATCAAAGATTGGTCAAAAGAGTTAGGAAGTAGCTAGCTAGGGGAACATCTACTCTACAAGATCAACAACATTTCATTCAATCTTTTCATTTCTTTTCCTTCAAGAAAAAGGCTACATTTAAAGGAATTGTCTACAACTTTTTCAAATTTTGTTGCCTATTAGTTTAATTCAACGCAACGTTAATGAGAGATTCGAATATCTGATCTCTTAGTTGAAAGTAAATATGTGAGATTCCACGTCGGTTGAATAGGGGAACGAAACAATCCTTATAAGGGTGTGAAAACCTCTCCCTAGTATATGCGTTTTAAAATCGTGAGACTGACAACAATACGTAATAGGTTAAAGCAGACAATATTTATTAGTGGTGGGTTAGGGCTGTTACAAATGGTATAGAGCCAAACACCGGGCAGTATGCTAGAGAGGATATTGGGCTCGAAATGGGGTAGATTGTGAGATCCCCCATCAATTGGAGAGAGGAACGAGTGCTCGCGAGAACGCTGGCCCCAAAGAGGAATAGATTGTGAGATCCCACGTCAGTTGGAGAACGAAACATTCTTTATGAGGGTGTGAAAACCTCTCCCTAACATACGCATTTTAAAAACTTTGAGGGAAAACCTGAAAGGAAAAGCCCAAAGAGAACAATATTTCCTAGCGGTGAACTTGGGACGTTACAAAATAGGTTCAATCAACTGAGCTCGAGAGAACCCAGAAGATTAATCTTATAAACGTGCATTTTTTGAGCTATTATATGGTTAACCTTATGTAATATGTTCCTAATTAATCAAGTAATGACACATGATTGAAAACAAGAGTTTGAAGTTGAATCATGTCAATGTTAGCTACAACTAAGGCATGATGACTACACCTTACAAGCAATGCCCACTTCCAAAAATTATATAAAATTAAGAGAATTAATTATCATCTAATCCCACCATTATCTTGATTATGTACCTAATGAGATGAAATGAAATGATCCCATTGTTTGTTGTTCAATTATTAGCAATTATTTTATGGATAATTAGGTATATAATTGGATAAGATTTGAGATGTTTATGATTCTTATTTGTCAAAGCTTTCTTGCCTATCAACCCAAGTTATGTTTTGTTTGTTGGAACGCAAAGTTATTTTCAAAAAAGTTTAAAAGAAATGAAAGTGACTGTCCGTCCTAATAGGGCACATCTTCCTTTTATGTAGTTCAATCATAAAAACTTCATGGTTAAGCGTGTTTCACTTGAAGCAATTCTATATTAGGTGACCTCCAAAACTTTTCGTGGGATGCATGTGAGTGAAGGCAAAGGATGAATTGGCGGGGCACGCTAAGGAAGGGAAGTGATACCGTCTGTAATAGCCTAAGCCCACCAATAGTAGATATTGTCGACTTTTCCTTTTGGGTTTCCTCTCAAAGTTTTTAAAACTTCTCTCGTCTGTTCGGGAGAGATTTTCACACCCTTATAAGGAATGTTTTGTTCTTCTCTCCAACCAATGTAGGATTTACTCGGGAGAGGTTTCCATATCCTTATAAGAAATGATTTGTTCCCCTCTCCAACTGATGTAGGGTTTCATATCTACAGAACTTTTTGATATTTGATAAACGGTCAGGCTAAGACAATTCGCTATTTAAAGCTTACTGAGAGGTTTGCTTCCAATTGTTGTATCTAATACGATGTAATCTCGGTTCGTCATGACCTTTTGAATCGAACAAAGTCAAAAGTCAGTGGTAGGGACAGGCAAGAGACAATTCGACTTACTTAAACATCTTAATACCGAAAGGAAAAGAAAGCAAAAGCGATAATCTTTGAAAGCAATACACCACCAAACCAAATTCAAAAGTTAACCATAGTTAATAATAATGTTAAATATGTATTAAATATGTGTAGATTTTTATCATAAATTATTTATAACGTTAAACATAAAGGGAAGGAAAAACCTAATAGTGGAAAGGGTCAAAGATAGTGTGAAAAGAAGGAAAAAAACCGACATTTTCATGAATACCTTAAATTAATCAAACAAGACATGGTCGGTGGTTGGTTTCCCAATATTACCAAAAAAGAAAATAAAAGAAATATAACTCTCCAAATGCTTTTAATTATGTTTCTAAACTTTGAAAAGTTTTCGATTGAACATTAATAATTCTCGAAAAATTTATACCGTTCACGTAAATAAATTTCAACATATTCCTGCGTAAAACACATGACAACCATTTATGATCCAGTCTTCCTTCTTTTAACTTCACACCCAATCGTTTACGTTTTTTCTAACCTTAACATCAAAATTTACTTTTCAAGTGTATTTAGATTTATTCATACGAACAACGTATAAGTAGACACAAACTTTTTCTATGAGATTCCACATCGATTGAAAAGAGAAACGAGTGTCAATCGAGGACACTGGACCTAAAAGGGGGTGGATTGTGAGATCCCACATCGATTGGATAGACTTATTTTTTAGGAGACATGAAAATTTCTCCCCAACAAATACATTTTAAAAACTTTGAGAAGCTCAAAAGAAAAATTTCAAAAAAAAGACCGAATTAGAATGATAATTGTAAGTAAATTATGATCAAAACTAAATCTTTACTCAATAAAATGACCAATGCCATAGCTTCTCCCACCTAAGTGGGCATCACATGCCTTTGCAGCTCAGTTTTCTCAATAATTACAATAATTAGAGAGAGAGAGAGAGAGAGAAAGTGGGGTCTGTAAATTAAAAATTTTTCGATGTGGGTTTTGTTTTAATGACTGAATTCTTCTGACATTATGCTTTAGATATTGAAAAACTTTAGTGTAATTGGTGGTTGAATGAATGGATCTCATTTCTCAGCCTAAAAGACCACTTTTTTTCACTTGAAAATGGGTCCATTTTCAAATCGAATCCTAGGTAAGTGATCTTGAAGATTGGATGACTAAGAAAAACTTAAAATACTTGAAAGTCGTTACCCATATCAGGTGCACTTTCCTTTTTGGTGGCTTAGTCATAGAAACTCATAGTTAAAACGTGGTTTACTTGGAGCAATTTTATGTTGAGTGACCGTAAATTTTTCTAAGGATGCACGTGAGTGAGGACAAAATATGCTGGAAGGACTTGTGTTGGTTTATAAGGATGGTCGAGCAAGTAACGTGTACATGTTGCAGGGGATGTCGGGACCATCAAATGTCAAATCTAAATTCTGGGTATGAATTGTTACATTTTTCGGTTGTGTTGTATAGGGTCCTCAAGTTTAAATTAGAAACAAAAAGGATAGGGGTTATCTTTAATACATGTGCATTGACATGGACATCCAAAGTTGTAACATTGGTGGTCTTGTAATGTTGCCTTTTTAATGAAGCATAGCAATCCATTCAACTTTGTTGTTTCTTTTAATTATTATTATTATTAGTTGGGAATCCTCACATGGAAAACATTCTAAATTGCACCATGTTTGATGTCACTCACATGCAAATGCTTAGGAGAATTCAAAATAAAATTTTTCTTATTTCAAAAGATTGAGAGATAAAAGTGTGAGATTCCAAATCGATCTGGAGCAGGAAATGAAACATTCTTATAAGATAGTAGAAACCTCTGTCTAGTAGACACGTTTTAAAACGTTGAGGGGAAGTTATTTACTTTTTATGTTCGTACCAATCTGAGCATAGTTTAACTGATTTAAATATGTATATTCAATCAAAAGTTTTAGACATAAAATTGAATTTTATGTTGATATGATCCTACACTTTTCAAGGATTAATTAGATCAAATAGAATTACGAACGTGTCAACACTTTCAAAACATCATAATTATGTTAAACTCAAAATCAAAAGTCCATAAATTTATTAGACATGTTGAAGTTTGAGATCTTTTCGACACGGGTTCTAAAACTAAACTTACAATCTTATCCTGATTTTTTATTCGTTCTCTTCTCCAACCAACGTGAGATCTCACAATTCACCTCTTTTGAGGGCCCGATGTCCTCGTTAGCACACCACCCAGTGTCTAGCTCTTATACCATTTGTAACAGTCCAAGCCCACTGCTAGCCGATCTCCCCTCAAGATTTTAAAATACATCTACTAGGGAAATGTTTCCACGTTCTCCTCTCCAACCATTGCGGGATCTCACATTAGGGTTTAACAAAAAAGAAAAACCCGAAAAGAGAATAATAAAAATAAATAGATATGATTAGAGATATGTCTTATCAATCTAGAAGTATGAAATTGGCTCGACTTGCATGAATATTGGCATAAAAACATAGAACAACAACACAATCCTTACCTTCATGACCCAAAAATGGATAAGAAGATCAAAGAAAAACTAAAAAAAATTGCATGATGTTCATAGAAACCCATCAAATAAGATAATGGGGTCACACTCTTCCCTTTCAGCTCCAATTGTTCTCGTTCTTTCATTTTCAAATTGTTAGCTTTTTCTATGATAAAATCACCGATGGGTGAGATTAATAATAACATCATCTCATGATTGAAGGCTCACCATTCAAAACCTTAAACAATTTGAGGGGTTTGTCACCCACATGCAAGTGTTGTAAAAAGTTGTTCTTTTTTTGTGACACTCGATAAACATGTTCTTAATGTCTCTCTCTATAATTATGAGAGAATTGAAGGGTTTTTTAGCAAATATATAAGTGGTTGTTAATTCATAACATATGCCAAAAGAGCTTTTATCTAAGGAGGGTCCTTGGTTCCTAAATTCATGTCATAAACCACATGCAATGTGTTCCCTAACCCCCCTTGTGGCCTATCACTACTCATAACAAACCTTGTCAACTACATGTGGCCTTCCATTATTGTAACCCAAAATCTAAAACCCTAAGTTTAGTGTATTCGACCGTTCGATATGTTCGAGTAGGTTACTTTTTACATCCATCATTATAGTCATCATTGACGTGTACGTCTGTGTAAACTTTGTGCGTGACACTAGTTTGACTGTGCTTTCCATCGAGTCCTCCTTTTTCGTCGATGCCCCAAGCCCAGTTAAGGGAAAGAATTTTTCCTTTGGCTGGTTGTTTGTCTTTCCCATTCCTGCTGCTACTAAAGGTGCCCGGAGTTCATGGATTCTCTGGTAGAGGAGAGTCGAGGTTGAATTCTTTTGTGGATAGTAATAGATCATAGATAATTATCATAAGATTGAGCGTGTGAAGAGTTTCGTATTGTGTAGAACAATTGACTTATAGGCATGTTGAAGGTTCATGTAATTTATTTTTTGATTTGTCAAAAGAAATTAATTTGTTTGACTTTGACTTTGACTTTTAATTTTGGAATATTTTATTCGCATATATTTAAGAAAGTATGAAAAGATAAGTCAATCAATATAAATGAAATGTTATTTTCAACATGCTTATTATTATTTCATCATATTAATATTTTAATCTTTTTAAAATTAACTATTTTTCATTTAAACTGAGCATATAAGTCAACTGGTTGCGATATACAGTAAATAGTAGTCTTCTAGCACCCACCGATAATAGATATTGTCTACTTTATCCCATTGCGTATCGCTGTCAGATTCATGATTTTTAAAACGTGTCCACACCCTTGTAATGAATGTTTTGTTCCTCTCCCCAATTGAATGTGAGTTCTCAGAATCCACCCCTGTGGGACCTAGTGTCCACGCTGGCCTACAGCCCGGTACCTAGCTCTGATACCATTTGTAATAATTCAATTCCACCGCTAATAGATATTGTCCGCTTTGACCCGTTACGTATTATTGTCAACTTCATGGTTTTTAAAACATGTCTACTCGGGAGAGATTTTTACACCCTTATAAGGAATGTTTCGTTCCCCTCTCCAACCGATGTAGGATCTCACATCTTCACTCTTAGAAAACAGTTCAAGACAACTAGGTAACATTGTCATTTCACAAGAGATATAGGAGAATGTCGAGATTATCAAATGTTGAATCTAGATTTTAAATCCTGGGTTTGGGTCGTTATCACCTTCACATGTTGTTGATCTCTTCAAAAAAGGACGATGTTTTTAAAATTTTGTTGAAGCTAACGAAAGGAAATAAAGTTGAGAGCTTTAATGAAAATTGAGGTCAAAGCTTATAAAAATGATTGAAAATTGGACAGATTATCCTAAGTATTTTGAACATTATTCAATCAAACTTTGACTTAGATCACTTATAAAACAATAATATGATTGATTACAAGTCATTGGGTTATGTCAAAGGGAAAAAAATTACAAAAATGCCCTCGACGATAAACGACGTGCTCATGACGTCATCAATTATTAGTAGGTAAATTCTTAAATATTGTAAATATATAAACCGTACCCTAATTATAAATCTGATTAAATTGTAAGTTTAATCTTGAATTTTAAAATTGCGATCAAAAGATGGTTAATTTTTTTTTTTTTTTTTTAAAGTTAATAATTTAATTGAGAAAGGTAAAGAATAGCATAATTAGTGGGGTAATCACTTTTTTGGTGAAAGAAAAAGTTAAATTTATTGGATTTGTTCATGAAAATCAGGGAAACCGAATTGTTTAATTAAGTAAATTAAAGTGGTTAATTAAGATTAGCGTAAAGTAGAAGCGTTAAGACCAGACATTAATTGAAGACAAAATCGAAAGCCAAAAACTGTCCTTTTGCTATGTTCTAGGAACTCCATCAATATCCTAATTTTTATTTTTTCTTTCAATATTCCAAAACAAATATAAATGTTTTGAATATGTTAGTGTTGAATTAAATTGATAAGTAAAATTTAATAATTTAATCTGTTGGAGAGGGAACGAGTAGAAACCTCTCTATAGTAGACGAGTTTTAAAATTGTGAGGCTGCAGCGATACGTAATGGGTCAAAGTGGATCATATTTGTTAGCGGTGGGTTTTGATTATTACAAATGGTATTAGAGTCAAACACTGGGTGGTGCGCTAGCGAGAACGTTGGGCTCCCAAATGGGGTGGATTTTGAGATTTCACATCAGTTGGAGAGGGAAACGAGTAGGAACCTCTCTCTAGCAAACGTGTTTTAAAATTGTGAGGCTGCAGCGATACGTAATGGGTCAAAGTGGATCATATTTGTTAGCGGTGGGGTTTTAAAATTGTGAGGCTGCAGCGATACGTAATGGGTCAAAGTGGATCATATTTGTTAGCGGTGGGTTTTGATTATTACAAATGGTATTAGAGTCAAACACTGGGTGGTGCGCTAGCGAGAACGTTGGGCTCCCAAATGGGGTGGATTTTGAGATTTCACATCAGTTGGAGAGGGAAACGAGTAGGAACCTCTCTCTAGCAAACGTGTTTTAAAATTGTGAGGCTGCAGCGATACGTAATGGGTCAAAGTGGATCATATTTGTTAGCGGTGGGTTTTGATTATTACAAATGGTATTAGAGTCAAACACTGGGTGGTGCGCTAGCGAGAACGTTGGGCTCCCAAATGGGGTGGATTTTGAGATTTCACATCAGTTGGAGAGGGAAACGAGTAGGAACCTCTCTCTAGCAAACGTGTTTTAAAATTGTGAGGCTGACAGCGATACGTAATGGGTCAAAGTTGATAATATCTGTTAACGGTGGGTTTTGACTATTACAAATGGTATCAGAGTCAAACACTTGATGGTGCGTCAGCGAGTACATTGGCTTTCAATGAGGGTGGATTGTGAGATCTCACATTTGTTAAAGAGGGGAACAAGTGGAAGCCTCTCCACAATAGACACGTCTTAAAATCGTGAGATTGGCAACGACACGTAACAAACTATTAAAAAGTGGGGCAAAATGATATTATACCGATCGTGTCTATTATACTTTTATTTTGAGTAGCCCTAAAGTTCTTGATCGAGTCTATTAAAAAGTGGGGCAAAATGATATACATGATAGACATCATGAAAATATGATACAAAACCCTAATTATTTGTGAATAATTCATAGCCAAATCATAACAAATGACTACGCCGATCATCACTTCTAATATTTTTCATGAACGGCATCATTTTATGGTAATAAAGATTGACATTTTGTTCTCGAGTTCAAGCATGTTTTAATTTTATGGTTTAGTTTGAACATTACTGACAAGCAACATTCTATTAGTTATTTTAAGACAATATTAATCTCAGTACAACTTAAACTAACAATCTAAGTCCACCGTTAGTAGATATTGTCTACTTCGACTCGTTATGTATCGCTATCAATCCTACGATTTTAATATAAAATATAAGAAAAATAGAATATTGGAGTATGGGGAGAAGGGAACAAGGGCCATAAATGTTGAATGTCCCTCTCCTTCATGCATAGGGTGCACTGTTGGATGCCAAATTTGATTATTTAATTTAATTTAATTTAATTTTTTCCACATTATTCCATTCACGTTACCGTTGTGAATTACAAAACTATATACTAAAATGGAAAATTAAATTATATACATTATATTATATATAAATATATATATATATAAACAATTTGGTTCTCCTATTTATTGTGGTGTCAGAATTGGATGTCAAAAAATCAAAGCCTCCTCCACTCCTATTTAATTACTCTTTTGCCTTTTCCATTTGGTCTTTCTTTACGTTGCAACGAGCCTTTTTTATAAGGATGTGAAAACTTCTTTTTAGTAGACGCGTTTTAAAATTGCGAGACTGATGTCGATACATAACGAGCCAAAACAGACTATATCAGCTAGCGGTAGGCTTGGTTGTTACAATTGGTATGAGAACCAGTCACAGACGGTGCGAGGCACTGGTGGGAATAGGGCTAGACCCTCTCCATAGTATACGTTTTTTTTAATCGCAAGGCTAACAGTGATATGTAACGGGCCAAAACGGACCATCTGCATGAATTTCGATTGTTACAAATGGTATTAGAGCTTGGACTCCTAAGAGAGGTGGATTGTGAGATCCCACATTGGTTAGAGAGTGCTAATAGTGAGTTTGGGATGTTAGAAATGGTATTAGAGTCAGACACCGAGAGATGTGCCAGCAATGACGCTGGACCACCAAGGGGGTGGATTGTGAGATCTCACATTGGTTAGAAAAGGGGAACAAAGCATTACTTGTAAGGGTATGGAAACCTCTCCCTGATAGACTCGTTTTAAAACTGCGAGGCTGACAACGATATGTAACGGGTTAAAACGAATTATATCTATTAGCGATGAGCTTGGATTATTACACCAACTAAGTACACTTTTGTTTTCGATAGTTCAATCATAAAAACTTCTTAACAATTTATATTAATACTGTATATGGATTACGTAACGTTCGATTATGGGATCATAAATAGGAATCGTGAAGGTATATACTTTATATAAATAAATAAATAAAGCACATGATTTTCTTTGTGGATGTGAGAAGTTATGGGGGCATTTATCTACCTGGCAATGACTTGGATGGCCTCCTCATCATTCCTCCGCCCCTTCTCTTCTGTCACCATCTAACGTCCGTTACCAAAATTCCGTAGACGCCGTCAAGTGCTTAGCTGGACGCCACTCTCATCCCTCAGCCTCCAACCTGAATGGGCCAGCTGGCACGCCACTTTCTCCAGCACATGGCCAGCTACTTCTGTCCTCTCATCTCTCCAAAATGCTCCTTTTTTCTATCTCAATTTACGAAACTACCACTCCCTTCAACAGTGCAAATGAGCTCCTCGAATATCCGCCACGTGTCGGGGAGGCTATTTTGTGTAATTAAATGGAGTTTGAGGGGTATTTATGGCGGATGGCATTGTTGTAATTTGGGGGAAATCATTAAATTTTTGTGTCAGTTTCTGGCTTGCGTAAGAAAGTGAAAATCTGGAAAGTACAGGAATCTAGGATAAATAGGTAGCAACGAGGAGTAAGGGAGTAAAATTTTAAAATTATTTATTTATTTATTTATTTTAATGAAATTTAATTACGGCGTTTTGTGGTTACGTACTTAATTTAAATTATCCCGTTTCAAACTTTAGGCTTTCCCTCCAAATTATTATTTTAATGAACATCGACCGCTGCCTACCACGAACCGATTGAACCGGCTGACTTGTCTCACCTCGTCAATCGTGGTACACTCCTTGGCACGACACATGATTTTCGATTCATGGTGATGACGACAATGTTCAGCCACTGAGTGTGTTGGTTCTCTGATCAACGTCCATAACAAGAAACAAGAAACAAGCAACAAATGAGTCATCTCGTAATTGTGAGACAAGATGTGTGGAGAGAAAGGTGAGCGAGGGAGAATGGTCAAAAAGCTTGGACTTACTAGCGATGTAACACAAGAAGAGAAATGACAATACGATGAGCCGAGCAATAAACACCTTCTCCAGCTAGCTTATTTTTTATAATTTTAGTTGTCATATCTAAATAGAGATAAATATAAAAGTAAAAAAAAAGAATTTAATATTTTTAAAAGTTAAAAATTTTATATGAATATTAAATTTTCAAAGGAAAGTAAAAAAAAAAAAAATTAAATTATTATCAAATGAAACATTATATTTTTTTACCTAATAATTGAATATATATATATATATATATATATTAATAATTTTACAAATTTTTATATACATAAACAAAAAGAATCTAATTTTGGATGGTAGAAAGGAAAGGATTTTTTTTTTAATAAAAAAATGAATATGATATTATAAAAAATCAAATTAAGTTTGTTTTTATATATTCATGTTGTATTGTAAATTACTTTATTCTTTTTTTATTTTAGAAGTTTTATTTTTAGTATATATATATATATAGACATAAAAATAAAATAAAATAAAACAAAATAAAATTAACTATTCAAATTATGAACGGAAGAAAAAAATTAATTATAATTAAACTATTACATACTTTATAGAATGGTTGAGTTTAAAGAAATTATTTAATCAATTAATTAGATTAAGTAATTAATAGAAAAATAATAATGATAACGACTTAGAAAAACTAAAACAAAAATATTTGAAGTAAAAAAAAAAAATTTAACCCAACAAATTTAAATCAATTATTTTATTTATTATTATTATAAAAAAGTCAAATATTAGTGGCAATAAATAAATTTAACTATGCATTATTTTATTTTATTTATAGTTTAAGGCAATTTGATTTATTTATACTAATTTTCACATACAAAATTCAATTTATTTAAAAATAATTTTAAAAAATTAGGGTAAGAAGGAGAGAATCCAATTCTTTGTTTCACAAAATAAAAATTCCATTTTATATTGATTTATTGCTTTAACAGACGGCCAGAATCAACCAGAAATGTGGGGTCGGATTCTTCCGGAATAATCCACGTGGATTTTAATATTTTATTTTTATTTTATTTTTCTTAATTATGAATTTATTTTTTAATTTGATATTAAAGACATTATATCATAATTGAAAATTAAAAAATTGGAATTTTTTTTTGTAAATTTTTTATTTTTAAACCAAATAAATTATTTTCAATGGAATTTATGATAAAAATATTTTTGAGAATAAGGAATAAAGGTAGATAAAAATAATTGTCAGAATGGGTTAAAAAAAGAAGGACAAGAATGTCCAAATTTGTTTGGTTTATAAATATTAATTATTATCTTTAAGTAATTAATAATTTCATTTCTTAAAAAAAACATGAAATTATCAATAACTTTTTTTTTCGAATGTCGAACAACCTTGAAGGTTGAATTAAAAGCGACTCAAGTGTTGTATAAATGGTGTACTTTGTTCGAATACTCTAGAGAATGAGTCGAGACTCGATTAATGGGAGGCTGTTCGAGGGCTCCATAGATCTCATTAGGGAATGATTATGGGTTTATAAATAAGAAATACATATTCGTTGGTACGAGACATTTTGTGGAAACAATATCATACCATTGTAGAGGTATGTGATTTGTAACCGCTAATTTTAAGAAATAAGAATTTTTTAAATTAAAAATAAGAATATATCACGAATAATATTAATCTTGACTAGTCTCGAAAAAAAATGATAATTATTTTTTAGGGGTTTTATTATTTAATCTTATACATTTGGTGTCCCATTGTTAGGTCGATTTCACATCAATTCAATATTATGTCGTTTTTTTTAAATTATTGGAACGAAAAAAAAAAACAATTCATAATATTTATCCGAAAAAATTAAAGGGAAAATCAAAATATAGAGAGCGTGAGAAACACGCGCTACCGGAAGAGAGTGGAGGAAGCTCAAATCTGTAAAGAAACAAATTATAAAGCGAAGTTTGCAGGAAGAAGAAGGAGAGAGTTGAAAGAAAGATAAGATTAAAAAAAGAGAGATTTTTATTCAAAAAAAAAAAAGAAAAAAAAGAGATTTTTATTTAAAAAAAAAAAAAAAAAGTGTGTGTGTGAAAAAAAAACTGAAAACTTGTCTCGTGAAGCAGCAGGTGGAGGTGGTGTGTGTGTGTGTGTGTATAAAAGAGCAAAATAAATGTAAAAGTTCTTTCTTTTTCTTCTTTCTTTCTTCTTCAATCCCTCAAAAACTCTGTAAAATCCTTTCATTTTTCCTTCATTTTTATGGGGTTCTGATGTTTTTTCAAGATTTGGGGTTTTTCATCACTCACATTCCTTCTTTAATTTCACGGGATCCCTTTCTTCATCTCTCTCTTAATGTGTTCTTCGTCTAGTTCTTGACGGATTTTGTTCAACTTTTGGGCCATACCCATTGGGGATTGTGCTCTGTTTTTTAGGGGTTTTCTCTTAATCTCATTGTTTGGTCAACGGGAAAAGTGGATTTCGATTTTCCGAGGCTCAAAATGTCGCATTCTGGGAATCCCATTTCGGATGTTCGGTTTCATGATCTTTCCGATCGGTTTCGAGATTCGGTTACTTGTGAAGTAAACAAACCGGATTTTCGTGAGCTAGATCTGGGTTCCCCTGTTTCGCCATTGCGTACTCGTCACCAGATTGGCGGCGGTCCTGCCGTGAGTAGCAGTTCCAGTTCGTCGGGATCGGTTTCTGGTCGGAATGGACAGAACCCAGTTGCGAAAAGATCCGATTCGGGTCCTAACAATCACTCCGGTGAACTCTCTGGGTCTAGCGAGAGCAGTCCGACCGCCGCGGAGAGTCTCCGATCTATTGGAACCCCTAGAAATTTCAAGTCGGGTCATAATAGATCCGATTCCGCTTCGAATCATCCTTTAATCTATTCGGGTCAGTCTCAAAGCTCTGTTACTTCGCCCTCCAATGTTCTACCCACTGGCAATATTTGCCCTTCTGGAAGGATCTTGAAGCCGAGTATGCCGACGACAAATCGGAGCTCGAGAACCGACGTTTTGGGTTCTGGGTCGGGAAATTACGGCCATGGAAGCATAATGCGGGGCCTCGGCGGTGCTAAACCCGTCGCCGTTGAATCGGTTAGTAATGTCAGTTCGAGAGGCGGCGGTGTTGGTGGTGGAGACTCGTTGAAGAGGGCGAAACAGAGTGGGGATCCGGAGGAGTTGAAAAGAGCTGGAAATGAGCAATACAAAAAGGGTCATTTTGCTGAGGCTTTGAGTCTTTATGATCGAGCCATTGCAATATCTCCGGCCAATCCAGCTTACCGGAGCAACCGAGCCGCTGCCTTAACCAGTCTCCAGCGGCTCGGCGAGGCGGTATCGGAGTGTGAGGAGGCAGTGAGATTGGATCCCAATTATACTCGAGCTCATCAACGTTTGGCATCTCTGTATCGTAGGTGGGTCAGTGTTGCTTGAAACTCATCTGTTTGTGATCTGCATTGAGCGGACTTTTTTCGATTTGAAACTATATAGCTCTATAGAGTTGGTTGACCTGTCCTGTCTGTGTTGTTTTAATGTTCTTGTTTTGTTCTTGCTGATGTCTGATGGATCTATCGACTGCTCGATCGTTGTAACTTTCGGCTTATTTGTTATATCTCGACGTGATCTTTCAGGTTAGGACAGGTAGAGAATTCTAGGAAACACCTTTGTTTTCCGGGCGTTCAGCCCGATCCCAGTGAGCTGCAGAGATTGCAGGTAGTCGAGAGGCATATAAGTCGATGTGGGGATGCCCGTCGAGTTCGAGACTGGAGAAGTGTATTGAAGGAGGCAGATGCTGCAATTTCTGGTGGAGCTGATTCTTCACCTCAGGTCAGAGTGACAAATTTTTAATGTTCTTGTGATTTTGAATTGAAAGAACTGAATTTGTTTGGTTGTTTATCAATCTGCAGCTGTTCATGTGTAGAGTAGAAGCTCTTTTAAAGCTTCATCAGATTGAAGATGCTGAATCTAGCCTACTTAACGTTCCGAAGTTACATCCATCGAACAACTCGTGTTTACAAATGAAGTTCTTCGGAATGCTTTCGGAAGCGTACTCGCATTTCATTCATGCCCAAATTTCGATGGCGTTAGGAAGGTGTGTTCTTAGAATTTTAGCTTCTTAAGTACCATGTCGACACGGTTTTGAGAGCGTGGGAATTGGATAATGGATATGTTGCAGGTTTGAGAATGCAGTTACAGCTGCTGAGAAAGCTGGGCAGATCGATCCACGGAATGTCGAAGTGGCGATGCTGCTTAATAACGTGCGTTTGGTTGCAAGAGCTCGTACTCGAGGCAATGATCTGTTTAAATCAGAAAGGTATACTGAAGCTTGCTCAGCATATGGGGACGGTCTTAAGCTCGATCCTTCAAACTCGATTCTTTACTGCAACCGAGCAGCCTGTTGGTTTAAACTCGGGATGTGGGAACGGTCTATTGAAGACTGTAATCATGCGTTACTTATTCAACCAACTTACATGAAAGCTCTCCTTCGAAGGGCTGCCTCGAATAGTAAGGTGAATTGCCTCGACTTACAATGCTCTGCTGCTATCGTCCTATTTGCAGGTTTCGTCTTGCTAACTCGGTTTTTGATTGACTGCAGCTCGAAAGGTGGGAGGAGGCTGTTCGAGATTATGAAGTTTTGAGAAGGGAGCTTCCAGATGACAATGAAGTTGCTGAATCTCTATTTCATGCTCAAGTTGCGTTAAAGAAATCTCGTGGGGAAGAAGTTCATAATCTGAAATTCGGTGGCGAAGTCGAGGAAGTATCGAGCCTAGATCAGTTCAGAGCTGCCATATCGTTCCCAGGTCTGGTTAAACACGATTAAACGTCGAGCTATAGATCTCATAGACTCTTCAAACAGACGTAAACGTTCCATTAAACTTCAAATTGCAGGGGTCACCGTGGTTCATTTCAAAGCAGCATCTGATCTACAATGCAAGCAAATATCACCATTCGTCGACGTCCTTTGTCGTCGACACCCTTCCATTAATTTCCTCAAGGTAGACGTTTGTCTTCTTCGCTTCACATCACCTCAACGACGTCGGTTTTACGTTCTTAACGAGTTAATCTCTTCGTATTTGTCATAACAGGTGAATCTGGAAGAAAGTCCAGCAATTGCAGATACCGAAAACGTAAGGATCGTACCAACATTCAAGATTTACAAAAGCGGGAATCGAGTTAAAGAGATCATATCTCCAACTCGAGACGTGTTGGAGCATTCGGTAAGGTATTATAGCTTATAGAATTCAAATCTACTGCTGCTGTCCATGCTCGTCTCCTTTAGCAATCCTCCTCCTCATCCTACACGGAACCTGAATCCCGACCATTCGAAAGAAATACCTGCTCAAACCTCCTTCCTGCGTAGGAATTACCCGATAACCATGACAACTAAACGGGTCGAAATAATCCCCATTAGCAGCCAACCGAAAAACGCGAATGGAATCCAGAGAGAGATAGTATAGTAGTTCATTTTTGGAGTTGTCATTATATTCATTCATTGCTCTCTGGTTGTTCCATCTCTTTTCCCTCCATATCCATTTTCCCATAAGGCTCGGTAGCGATATCGGTCTACTCCCCGTTGCATCGAAACTCATTAGAACGGACTCGAACTCAGCAATGGGTGTAGGTAAACAAGGATGTGTACATGTATATATGATATATACAAAGAAAACAGGAAGAGAGGGGAGGGGAGGGGAGGGGGAGTACATTGTTAGTTCTTCATCTGTTCTTTGAAACATTTTCTCATTTAATAATAACAACAACAAATCATGATTTTCCACTGCTGCTGTTCTTCATTTACCTCATCAAAACCTGATATTTCATGTTGATAGATGGGTATCTGTTCTTGGGGTGATGGGTATCTCATTGAATGCTTTTGTTGGAAATGGGTATGCCAAAGATTGTGATTTTGAGCTGATAAGGAGTGGAGTGGGTTGGGGGTAGTTGGTTCTATTCATTGCTGTTTTAAAAGTAGATTGTCCTTCAAAGCTAACTACTACTGGTTTATAAAGGTGTTGGGGCCACTTTCCCAACCAAAAACTTTATTGATTTATTATTAGTTTTGTTTTGTTCTTAACACTTTATGTCAACCTGCCATTATTTGAAGGCTTAATCTCACTTAGTGTTCTCACTTTGTATATGTTAATTTTGTTGACAATATTGACTATACATATGGCTTCTACAAAAGGGTCGGTCGTTTGAACTCTCGATGTCTACTAGTGCTAGGGTTGAGATAGACATGACGATTAGTAGGGGTAGAATGAGTCTCGATGCTTACAGTGGTGGGGTTGAGATAGGCATATGATGTAAGTAGGGGTAGAATGATTGCCAATGCCTACTAGCGGTGGGGTTGAGATAGACATGACGATTAGTAGGGGTAGAACGACTCTCGATGCCTACTAGCAGTTGGGTTAAGATGGGCATGACGATGAGTAGGAGGGGTAGAACGACTCTCGATGCATATTAGCAATTAGGTTGAGATGGGCATGATGATGAGTAGGAGTAGAATGACTGTCGATGCCTACTAGTGATAGGGTTGAGATAGGCATGACGATTAGTAGGGGTAGAATGACTCTCGATGCCTACAAACAGTAGGGTTGGGACAGGCACGACGATTAGCAAGGGTAGGCCCCTCTAACGTCCCGATCGGTAAGGATGATTAAAACTAGTAACATTAAGGTTAGGGAATTGGAGGGAAGGGGGTCACATGTGGGGTGACCATTCACCTAACTTATTAAAAATGTGGGGGAAAAGTGGAGCCCTTGCCTTTTGATGAATCTAAAGCCTTTCAATGGCTCATTGCCTTGCCGGCTCTGAATTGGTTGATTTGATTGATCTATATATTATTTTTTTATTTTTTATTTTTTTAATTCCTAATAAAAAAAAATTATAAATAAACAATAATTTGGTAATTATATTTTTAAATTTATAAAATTTACTAAGCCTTATAATTTTTAAATGTATATGCCAAAGATATGTTTTTACGATCTTATAAAGAATGTTTCGTTCGTCTTACCTATAATCATAAAATATATATTAAGTTACGTAAAAAAAAAAAAAAAATAAATAGTGATGTGGCAAAAACTTTTAAATAATGAGACAAACAATTAGTCGTACGCGGGAGAAGGGTGCGTGATAGGAGGATGCTTAAAAAGAGTCAGAAGTGTTAAAGAAATAGTGATGTGATATCTACGCGCCGCGCCCTGATCGTGGTGAAAATAGTGCGGATACTCCCATGCCACATCACCTTTTTATTTTTTAAAATTTTATTTCGACTTAGTTTTAGTTTTTTTATTTTTATTTTTTTGTATTTTAGTTAACCTCTAATATTTATGATTATGCACGTGTCTCGTCACGTAATTAGGGTATTATGACGAGACTTTAGAGGGTTATCAGCTATTTTAATAGCGAGGAGTTTATTATGGCTAGCTCACGTATTTATCTTAGTTGGTTTAGGCACGAGATCGCTCCTGTCATGTATAAGTGTTATCAGCTAACTATGATAGAGATTACTAGAGGGTCACAAATTAATCTCGAGTCTATTATGGTTGACCTACATAGGTATCTTAGTTGGTTAGGTAAAGAGTCAGCTTGTTGCACACCTAGATTAGTTAAGCCAAGGAATATGAACTTTATGTTCTAATATAAGTTTGAATGGACGTTTACAACACTACTTAAAAGTACGTGGAGCTAATGAAAATGGGTCTAACCAATTTTCAGGGCATGTCAAAGGAAGGCTGGTGATCGCTTCGAATCATCCCTTCATTTTAGAACTTAAACTTTAAGATAATTATAAAGTTGACCCGTAATTATTTTTAGTACGAGATGAAGATTTGAACCTCTGACTTCATACAAACGAGTAGATGTCGTGATCATTGAATTGTAGTAATGTAGCTGATGTTGGCTCGTACAAAACTATTGGACAGGATCGAGCAAAAAGCAGGAAGGATAAGGCCAAGACGTGGATTTTCCAATACCATCTAGTCATAAGGACACTTATTTTCAACGTTACAATGATAAGTCGATGGGATTATTTATTCATTCGTATAGACACATTAAAAGTAAATATGGAAAGATTGACAAAATGTGATGTGTTTGATGTGTAAATGTATGATTTTGATGTGCAAATGGAATTGTTGTCTTTAAAATCTTGGACAAACTTTGACTCCTCGAGATTCTAATTCCATTCATTCAAATCCAACCTTTAATACCATTTTAAACACTAAAAACACTAAATTTGTAACTTGACCGTCGTGCTATATGTAACAACTCAAGCTCACTGTTGATAGATATTGTCTGTTTTGGCCCGTTACGTATTACCATCAGCCTCACGATTTTAAAACGTGTCTACTAGGGAGAGGTTTCCACACTCCAACCAATTGTGATAAGATTTCACATTGGTTCGAGAGGGGAACAAATGATTTCTTATAAATGTGTGAAAACTTCTTCCTAACATATGTGTTTTAAGTCACGAGACTGACGGTGATACATAATAGCTAATGATAAACTTGAGTTGTTACATATAATGTAAATCGGTTACTAATTTTCGAATATGTTACACAAGTTCGTACATACGATGTATGATACTTCTGATACACGACGTAGCTTAATAACAAAGATAAAAAGTTAAAAATAATAACCGAAATGATTAACTTTGTTCGTAGTTCAAAATTTTGAAATTTATGATTCAAAAGTGGTTCGATAAATTCAAAAATCGATAGACTAAAGTAGATGGAGGACCAAAGGTTCGACGGAACATGTCACATTGTGACAAACCATCATGAACATCCAACTTTTGTGGCCTTTAACGTTGTATAGATCAAATCAAATTGAATTTAAAAAAAAAAAAAACATTAAAATTAAATGGGTCAATACTTTTAAATATTTTTTTTTCTCCTTTTCTTTATAAAAAAAAATTAGCAATATAATGCGCAAAAATTAATTAATTAACATATAAATTTATCCGATCTTAAAATTCAAATATTCAAATGTTCGAATTCTGATAATTAAATAAAAATAATATTTTTTAATATTCCTCTCGAATTTTAATTTAATTTAATAAAAGTTATGGAAAATGAAATAAAGATGAAAAAGAAAATATTCTAAAAATCATATTTAAGATAACAACAAAAGCAAACACTCAAAAAGATATAATTAATTAGCTATTCCAAAAGCATTATTAGCAGTGCTAATTAAGATTATGGCAGATATTACCGATAGTGCCATTAAAGGAATAAAAAAAAATACTAGGATCCAATAGTAAAGTGCCACGTGTCCGCATCAAGATGCTTAGTCGGCCATTAATTATAATTTATTATCTTAATTGTTGTGATTTGGTCTATTGTTCTATCATTGCAGCCCTAACAAAAAGGGCTAATATTCAACCATTTTATTTATTAAAAAATTGTATTAAATTATTTATAAAATTAAAAAGTTTTATTATTAAATTGTGTTTGAATTAATAACCAATTATTATTTTTTTTTTTTAATTATGATTTTCTCACGTGCGGGTTCAGGTTTGATACCGAAAAATATTGTTTATTTGAAAATTTTGAATTAATATTCGGTAGATTAACAATTTTACTTTTTAAATTCTTGTGATTCAAGTTTTCGTAGATAAAGATGAGATTTGTTAGGTACTTGAAAATCGTTCATCATTAGAAGCATATGTTTAGTAGTGTAAGAGAATTCTCGTAAAAATCATGTTTTACCAACATTTTTTTTGCAACGTGTCGAGTCTTCATTGATATTGAAACTAGGGTAAACGAATCGACATTGTCGATTTCTATTCATGGTACCATGTGTCGGGTTTTCATTGATAGATTTTGTCTGGAACGAACAAAATTACTTTATGATGTAATTTTACGTCATATTACGATTAATTACATCAGACACGATAATGGTCGAGTTTGGACGATAAAAAATCTCGAAATCATGTTATGGTACACAATGATAAATGGGTTAATGCTATCTTATCGTACAAAGTCGTGTGGGGACGAGAAATTTTAATAAAGCATTTTGAGAATGGACCATATCATGTCTCCCCCACCTTCATGTTCTTGAGTTTCCCCCCCTCCTATTACTCCTCCACTTCCCAAAATTGTGTTCTTTCTCTCTTGGCCTTTGTTTTGTGTGTAAGATCGTATAATATGTCGACTAGTAAAGGCAACGATGTTGGTGAAGGATCGTCGTCAAATTCCTCTTCGTCTTCGTCTCTTGTTGCTGTTATCAACGATCGTAATCAACCAGCAGCAACAGCAGTAGCTCCTGTGAGTCGGTACGAGTCTCAAAAGAGGAGAGATTGGTACACGTTTGGGCAATATTTGAGGAACCAAAGACCTCCATTGGCTATCTCCCAATGCAATTCAAGTCATGTTTTGGATTTCCTTCGATATCTTGACCAATTTGGGAAGACAAAAGTGCACTTAAATGGGTGTGGTTTTTTTGGTCAACCCGAGCCACCTGGACCTTGTACTTGCCCTCTTAAACAAGCTTGGGGCAGCCTCGATGCGCTTATTGGTCGCCTTAGAGCTGCTTACGAAGAAAATGGAGGCTCGTCAGACACTAACCCATTTGCTAGTGGTGCTATTAGGGTTTATTTGCGAGAAGTCAAAGACTCTCAGTCCAAGGCAAGAGGAATCCCATATAAGAAGAAGAAGAAAAAGAAGATTCCAACTCACACTCATCAACCAGGTAATCCACTGAATTAGCAGTACCCAAATCCCTTTCTTTTCTTATTATTAGTCCATAAAACGAATATCAACAAATCTCGAGGAAAATTCAAACCTTCAACCTTTAGGAAAGGAACAAGTTGTGCCTTTTAACCCTAAAACTATTCTCCCGTCGGTATCAAATACTTTTCGTTTTAGGTAAAAATCACCTCAATCATATTCAAGACAGTTAAAATAAAGTTCTCCGGAGATGTTCCGAAAAAAACCCTAAACCCTAAACCCTAAAAATCACCTCTAGAGAAGGAACGAGCTGTGCCTTTAACTGTAAAACTATTCTCGCGTCCGTATCAAATGCTTTTCGTTTTAGATAAAAATCACCTCGATCATATTCAAGACAGTTAAAATGAAGTTCTCGAGAGATGTTTCGAGAAAACCCTAGAGCACGACCCTAAAATGAAAGCCCTAAATTTCATAATATTTGGGCTAGGGTTATAGAATATTTATAATTAGACCCCTATAACAATTATTATTATTTAACTTTACCTTTTTCTTTTTCAAGAAACCTAAAACCATTTGTAATAATAATAATAATAATAATAATAATAATAATAATAATAATAATAATAATAATAAGAATAAGAATAAGAATAATGCAAAAATGGTCATTACTATGAATATAAACTTTGGTTGGTATTAAAAATAATTAATTTATTTTCAGGGGCCTAAAGAAGGACCAGTTAGCAACGAATGTGGTTTTGGAAGGACTGAATTGCAAATGAAATATTCTTCTCAAATTAAGCACATTTAAATTAATTACTCTCTTATTATTGTTTTTTTTTTTAATTAATAGAGATTTTGTGTCAATTTTATTATATTATATTGTCCTTCCCTCTTTTATTTAATAATAATTTTCATTTAAAATAAATATTCAATTAAAGAAATTAATAGAAGAAATAATAATTTTGAATTAGGTTTTATTATATATTATTTATTTGTATTATTAAAGAGAAAACTATGGTGTGTGCCACCAAAAAAGCAATTAATGAAAAGACTATAATGCCCCCACAATAATTATGAAATAAATAAATAAAATAAATAAATAAAATGATGCAATTTGATATGATTTTTCATCATAACATTCACCTTAGGATTCCATTTTTAAAGCTTTTCATTTCATATTATATCAAATATTTATTCGAATATATTGAAAATATAAAGTAAATCTCGTGTTTTTTATTTGAAATTTTCGAGTGTTGTATTTCAAGAATCTCGACGTATTACTTTAGTTGTTGTGTTGCATGTACTTTTAAGATATGATTCATGAATGCTATGATACCATGATCATGTTATGCCCGGTGAAACATTAGATGAACTATGAATTATAAGTATGAGTGATGTGTCATGTCCATGTATGTATGTCTCATATTGGGACTTCATGCATATTGTGTGTCACGAGTACGTGTTATTTCCTCAATATGTTATATGAGAATGCGTACACCATAATATCATATGGGACCTTTCTTTTCATTGGTTTTCGATAGCGCAAGCTTGCACTAGCTCATAGTCAGGCCTAATGGTACGTATACGAGTCTGCTTAGTGGGTTCATGCATGTATGCGTGAACCATGTATAGAGAAATACTAAACATTCAACTTTACCCAGAAAAGAAATTAGAATTCGGGGAATAACACGAAAAGTAAGTCTCATAAAAAACCATGTTGCATGTGATTGCAATTCTCAGTCCCAACAAGAAGGTCACTATGAATAAAGGCAAGGGCTCGTGTCCGAACGTCGGCACAAGGAAATGAAAACCATGGGAAGATTTCTTGTGAATTATGTAATGAACTCCGAAGTCAAACATCACTCCCACTTTTATTTTTTAGTCTCTCTTTTCGTCTCAATTTAATTTGAGCCTCCTTTCTTGACTATTCCAAAAAGCCCCTTTTCCCTAAATGAATTTCATTCACAAACTCGCTCAACTTTGATATATGAACATATATTAATGAGTTATCGATGACTCAGGAGTAGAACATAACATTAAGAACATTAAATTTGAACAAGACAAGCAATTCTTTATTAAAAAAGAACTCTTTTATTCTTACAATATTGAAACTTAAACATAGTTCAACGGGACTCGAGCTCCATGTCTGTCCCCTAAATCGAATACTTAATATAACCCACCGAGGACGAATTAACATCCTTAATCAAAGTTCCCAACAATGGAACCCTCAAGCATTTTGAGCTATACTCCTTATAGATAAACCCTGAACACTTACAATCTCTATCACATTTGGCTCTGCAATCCCCCACCTTAATCGGCCCTTCCCCGTCCTCCTTGTACGGGTTCAAAAAATGCTCCACCCCCACTATCTTATAGTACCCAAATTTCCCTTTTCCGCCGCTGCACGGCGGCGTCTTCGGCGGCGCACAGCTCTCGCTCCACCCCAAAAGCCCTTTTGGGCTCGGACACGCCACACACATTCCCCTGTTGCAGTACCCATAAGCTCCACATTTGCTCGGCAGAGCACATTCCCTTATGAAATAGCTCGAAAAAAACGCAAAGCTCTCTTCCCATTTCAAGTAACTCACTTTATCGTAGTACGTGAATGCCTTCAAATTCCCGTCGTGACTTAGCCGGAGAAACGAGTACGTCGCATTGTAGTTCAATTTGTTCAAATTCAACGCTCCGCCGCTTCCAATTGGTCGGACTTGTAACAATCGCCGCCGTGGGGTGTCCTGATTTACTAAAAGAAGAAGCTCGTACGCGGTGGCGTTGTCATTCTCTGGTTCGGCGGCGAATGTTACTCTGCTTCCATGATCCGTCCCCGGCCAACCGCCGTAGGTTAAAAGCTGACCGTCGTGGGAAAGAAACATTGTGAGCCCTGTTCGATCTAGAACAAGGCTGTAAGGGCCATCAGAGCCGTCGATTTCGGATTTCCGGCTAATTAATTTATTCCGGCCGCCGATTCGAATCGATTGACCGACTAACAGAGTATCAGTAGGGTAATCAAAGCTCTGCCAGATGAATTTCCCGTTCTTGTCATGGAGGATTAAGTTTCCATTAGGGAGCATTTTGATGCCGGTGACTCCTCTGTTTTTGGTGTTGGTTTGCCAGACGACACGGCCGTCGACGTCGGCTAGGACGAAGTTTCCGTCGCGGCCAAAGGTGAGGGTGGCGTTTTCACGAACTGGGTCGTTGCGATTGGCGTCCCAAACCCATCGCATTAAGCTCTCGTCGTTGGGGATTCCAGCTCTAATGGCGAAAATGAAGGAATCAGGGGTGGTGTTGTAAAAACAGAGGCGGAAGGGGAATGTGTAGAAGGTGTACACGTGGTTTCGAATTACGCGGTAGCTGGCGTCGTATTCAATGATTCGGTCGCCGAATTCGCCTTGGTTTACGAAATGGAAGGTGGCATTTGCAGGAACTTGAGCTTCTGTGGCTATGGCGGCGAGAAGAACAGTGCAGAGCAGGAAACAGAGAGGGGGAAGAAGAAGATGAAAACTTGTCGCCATTTGGGATCGAACCCGTGCTCTTGTTTTTGAATAATGTAAGCACAACAACGTGCGTTATTTATGGTGGTGAACAAATATCTTGTGGCCAGGTAGATTTTTTCTGACAGTGGCAGGCTAGTGCAGTCAGCTGGCATCTTATCCATTTAGCCATCATGGTTGACCAGTACTGTCTTAGTCAACGAGGATTTAAATCTCTTTTATTACCCTCAATCATATTCGCTCTGCTCCGCTTGCATTATTTATAATTAAATAATACTCTCTCCATTGGTATTTTTGTGAAGCACAAAGCAAAGTTACGAGAACTTGGGTTCTAAGTGGATAATATCGTACTATTGTGGAGAGTCGTGTTCATCTAACATATTTAATTTTTTTTCTTATTTAAACTATGTCTTCAAAATGTTGGATTTTTTTTCTAAAAATGAAAAAATAAATCTTTTTTTATTTGAGGGTTAATTAGGGTTTTATTTGTTATCAGGATAATAAATACACATTAATATAAAATTTCTAGTCAAATTAATCTAATTTTTTACCTCTAAAATATACATTTAATTATTCGGAACTAATTTAATTTAAATAATATAAAATTAAAACGGCGGTGTGATGGAAACTCGAGTAAAAATGTAAAATTATAGACCAAATTGAAACTATATATAAAATTTTAAAAAATATGAGTAATATTTTGAAATCTATAGCTAGAAAACGACAAAATTCGGCCTTGTTCTTAGAAATTTCATGGGCCTGAAATAGGAGTCAGGCCCACGATAGCAAACGGTTCCCTAAGACGGACCGACGTTCATTTCTTAAACCGGTTTTCACACTTTTATAAATAATGTTTCGTTCACACGGGATTTCACGTGCCCCATGCTACTCGGGTCAGAGTGTAAGCTAGTGATGTTTTCGGCTACAGGACTCTTGCCATCTAGGGTGTAGCACTCCACCGCTTCGCCTAGCAACACAACACTGAGAGGTTTTCACACTCTATCCTCCTTTGAGGCATAATGTTTTCGTTGGCACTCGTTTCCCACTCCAATCGATGTGGGATCTCACAATTCACCCTATACGGAATCAGCGTCCTCATTGGCACACCACCAGTGTCCACACCCTTCAAGGCTCTAGCGTTTTCACCAGCACACCGCCCTGTATTTGGATATGATACCATTTGTAACCGTCTAAATCCACTACTAGCATATATTCTTCTTAAGGTTTTAAAACACGTCTACTAGGGAAAGATGTCGTTCCCATCTCTAAACTTTCTCGATCCCAATATAAAATTTTTAACATGGGTATAGTTCAAACCTCGAGAAAATCAATATTTGTCTCTGTTAGAATTGGTCAATCTATTAGAATAGCTTGAAGTTAGTCATGCCATAAGAATAGGCTTACTTCGTTAGTTTCCTATGAAATCGGATCTATTAGTTAATCTTTTGCCAATATAAATAGAATATGTCCTCAATAGTGTGAGGCACAGTTTTGCATAAACTTGATAGTCTCGTCTATTACACCACGTGTCATCGTTATTCCAAATTATAGTAAAATAGTATTTAAATATTATAAAACTCAATTGACAACATGCAACATGTAATTTTATATTAAAAATTAAAAAAGTATACAACTATAATAAAATATATATATATATATATATATATATATATATATATTTTAGTGATAAAGCAAATTTGTATTTTTCTTGTGATAATTGAATTAATAAAGCCACCGTCCACATAAATTGACTGCTCTATCACGCCTCTAGAACTATAGCTTATAATATATATTATGATACGTATCATCAAACCAATAATATTAATTTTTTAGTTACAATAATGTTTTTTTTTATATATATTAAAGTCAACTTAATAATATTATTACAAAATCACTCTCACAAAATAATTTGACTTAATTTAAACTTCACCCAATTAAATAATGAGTTAGGTATGCATTTAGTTTCACTTGAAAGTCCACAAAATCATTCATTACTATAATTGTTTGTCCATTAACATTTAAATAACAATTAAGATTTTTTTTTTATTTAACTGAAAGTCAATATTTTGAAATTTTAATTTAAAAAAGAGAAAGAACGGAAAATTAGTCTTAAGATACATATGTCCCGAGGGTGGGGCAGGGATAGGGATCCCTGCCACCTGTTTCATTCCTTATTCTCGTGAAATTCTCAATTTATTTTCGTGAAAATCGGGGCAGAGATTCTTTGCAAATAATTTTATCCATTTATTATTTTAAAAAAATATTTGATAAACAAATATATATATATATATATATATATAATTTTAATATTATAGGCGTAGTTTCCGACCATTAAAAAAATTTAAATATTATAATTAGAGTCACAAAATTAACTAATTATTTTCTTAATAAAGCTAAAACGAGTATATATATAATTTTAATATTATAGGTGTAGTTTCCCACCATTAAAAAAAATCTAAATATTATAATTAAAGTTTCAAAATTAATTAATTATTTTCTTAATAAAACTAAAACGAGTATATATATATATATATATATATATAATTTTAATATTATATGTGAAAAAAATCTAATTAATTATTTTCTTAATAAAGCTATAACAAGTATATATATATAATTTTAATATTATACGCGTCGTTTTTCCAACAATTAAAAAAATACAAATATTATAATTAAAGTTTCAAAATTAATTAATTATTTTTTTAATAAAATTAAACGAGTATATATATATATTGAAAATATATTTATATTAAGTTGGGCATTTACAGAAATATAATCTTGTTCGGACCTCACTTATTTAACGATAAAAAAATGTTTTTGGATCTCTCTATTTCCCCTATAAACGAGAATCTCAGTACGGTGCGGATTGGAATCTTTCATTTGAGATTCGAATATTCTTTTAAGTGAGAAAATTTGGCAATACACTTTTCTTTGTTTTTTTAAATAATTTTCATAAATAATGGGCTGTCAAGTCAACATGTCGTACAAGCCACGTGTCTTTTGTTTTCTCCAGCTGGAAGTTTGACTGGAAGTGAAATTGACAGTTTTACCCCCGCTTTTAATTGCATAGGACAAAACAAACCCTTGACTTTTTGGCTCCATTCCATTTCTTCTAGAAACCTTTAATCCTAAGTTAACGTTATTGTCCACGAAATTATGATAAGTTCTGTTTCGTGTAAATGCTTTTTATAAGCACTCTCTCTTATTTACTTCTAAATAAAATTCAACAACTCCCATTTCATGCTTTTTTTTTTTTTTTTTTTAATTTTATTTATAAATATTCAATGTTTATAAATCTAATAATTATATTCCCGTGTTGTTTTTCACGATATTATTATTATTTATTAACCAATTTAAAAAAAAAATGCAGCCTAGATCCACAGCCGATAGATATTATCATTTTTTGGTTTCCATTTCGGGCTTGCTTTAAAACGCTTTTGCTAGGAAAAGGTTTTTACACCCTAATAAAATGGTGTTTTCTATAAACGAATCTTTTTGAATTAAATTATAATAAAAAAGATGAAGTATTTAATTTTGTAGGGTTGTTATTGGTCAAAAAAGTTTAATGAACTTTAAATAAAAGCATGTGGGGGCAAAGAAATAAAGGAAAGTAATGGGATTAATTGAACATGGTCTACAAAATCTGATTCCAACTCCTTTTTCCTCGATTTACCTTTAAGAAACCGACAAAAAAAGATTGACTGATACCAAACTCGAGATGAAATATTCCAACCCAAATAAAGATATCAGGTGTGTAACGTTCCTGAATTTCGACTAAAATAGAGCTACTACCATATGTTTGATGTAACGATGCAAAATAAAATAACAATAAAAATAAAAATAAAAATAATGTCCTAAACTAAGTTAAGATATACGAAATAAAATGCAACTACGTTGATGTAGGTTTTATGGTCTTTAAAGCGCGATGTCGGCATCAAACGTACATGGGTATCTTGCATTTACTGAAATGTAATAGTAGCACAAGACTTGAATTTACGTCCTGTTTTAGTAAATAAATGAGACATAAATTATATTATGGAAATTATTTATAATGCCTAAATGGTTTTATTTATTTATTATTATTATTATTTTGACATAGGAAAATAGGCGAAATTAGTGCCTCAATCATGTACCATCCATACTTTTTTTTTTTAATTATTCAAGTTGACTTTAATATAATTATTATGGGCTACCATGACTTTTCAACCTATTTTATAATTATAAAACAATAATGTTATTATTTTTGTCTTTTTATTTATTTTTTAATTTTAAAATATTTATTTTAGTTCTTATATTTTTAACCGTCCCCTAATGATGCTATAATCGTAATGAAATAACCGAACAAATAGTTACTTTTTTAAAAATTATATAAATTAAAATAAAGCTTTTAAAAGTATATAGACTAAAATAAACCGACAGTATTTAAATCTATTATTTTTTTAAATATAATTTTTAAGAAATTAATTTAAATTATTATTATTTCCATGCATTGGAATATTTATTTATTAAAAAGGCAATAATTTTCGTAACTAAATTTATTATTATTTATTACCCAATACTCAGAAGTGTCCTTTTCAAATTATAAAGTGAAAAATTTTGAAAAGGAGAAAAAAGGAAAAGTTTCCAAATTTATTTTATTTTCTTAATAAATAAAAAAAGTTGATGGAATTCCTTAATTCAAATAAGAACATATAGCTTTCCATTTGATGCTGAAATTAGAATAAATAAATATTATGAAATTAAGAGAATTTCATTATTCTTGGACTCTTAACACCATCTTCTCAAGCATATCCAATCCTTGTGAAAATAAATTAATTATTATAATTAAGAAAATTCTAAATAATTAAAAATAAAATAAAATCAACTACTTTATTTTATTCTTTTATATATATATGTAACGGCCCAGAGCCACCGTATTGTCCTCTTTGAGTGAGTCCAGATTCACTGCCAGCAGATATTGTCCTCTTTGAGTGGGCTTCCCCTCAAGGTTTAAAACATGTCTGCTAGAGAAGGTTTCCACACCCTTATAAAGTGTGTTTTGTTTTCCTCCCCATCCAATGTGGTTATTTGGGTGAGCTTTCTTTTTCGAGTTCCCCTTAAAGTTTAAAACGCTGCTAGTGGAAGGTTTTCACACCCTCATAAAGGGTGTTTTGTTCTCCTCCCCAACCAATGTGGGACATCACAATCCACCCCATTTCAGAGCCCAGCGTTCTTACTAGCACATTATCTCGTGTCTACCCTCCTTTGGGGAACAACGAGAAGGTTGCACATCGTCCGATGTTTGGCTTTGATACCATTTGTAACGACCCAAGCTCACCTCGTGTCTACCCTCCTTTGGGGAACAACGAGAAGACTGACACATCGTTCGATGTCTCGCTTTGATACCATTTGTAACGACCCAAGCCCACCGCTAGCAGATATTGTCCTCTTTGGACTTTCCCTTTCGGGCTTCCCCTCAAGGTTTAAAACGCGTCTGCTAAGGGGATGTTTCCACACCCTTATAAATGTTTTGTTCTCCTCCCCAACCAATGTGATATCTCACCGTGTATATATATAAAATCACAAATTTAATAGGAGAATCTAATTCTTAATTTAGCAGGGAACCCAAAAGTTAAGAATATAAAATAATAATGTGTTATGGTAGAGTTTGTTTTGTACTATACTTTAAATATTTAAATTTAATATTTGTAGCTTTTTATAAAGATTAGTATAACTATCATTTTAATATAGTATATATTAAAATCCTAAATATACATTCACATATTATTTTTTTATATGATAAATTATTATTATTATTATTTATTTATATATATATATATATTTACATAATAATAATAATTATTATTCAAATAATTACAATTTAGATTTATTATCAGTAGTAAATTAAATTAAAAGAATTAAAAGTAGACTAAAATGAATTTAATTAATTTAATTTTTCCTTTTTGTATTTGGGTTCATCATTATTGGGCATCGAGTGCGAGGCTCATAGCTCTATATAATGATCTCGAACCACTGACTTTGGATCTCAGAATCCCACACACTCACTCCCTTTTCTTCCGATTTCATTTCCTCCTACTCTCGTCTCTGTTCTTCAGGTACGCCATTCTCCACGCATCACATTCTGCCATTACACATTTTGGTTATTGCATTTCTGATTTCTGGCGAAATTTGTGTCTGTTTTGATGTAGAAACTGTTGGGTTAATCGTATTTACTCATTTCTCGTACTGGGTTTTGCGTTTGGTTTCAGAATTCGTGTTTGTTTAGGATCTATTTTTGTGTGGATTGTCCTTGAAATTGATGGATTCTTATGGCTTTTCCCCCGTTCCCTTCCCCTGTTTTCTGGATTTACCGGTGGATGATGGTTTTTGTTTTTTGGGTGGTGATTTCAGAGGGGAATTTGGTGTGAAAGATGCCGAACCGGAATGTCGAGAAGATGGCATCGATTGATGCGCAGCTTCGGCTTTTAGCACCAGCTAGAGTGAGTGATGATGATAAATTGGTGGAGTATGATGCGTTGTTGCTGGATCGGTTCCTTGATATTCTTCAGGATTTGCACGGGGAGGATCTGAAGGAAACTGTAAGTTAGAACTGGGAATTTGACTTTGATTTGTATGGAAGGATGGATGAACAATTGTTTTGATTCATTTCACTCTCATTGTGAATCTATCACTATGGAACTTTTGATGTGAATAGAAAAGTAAAAGAAAAGAAATGGATCTGTGTATTAATATAACAAATGATTGTCATGACTTAGAACTTTTATGTCATTTTGATTGCTGTTATATTGATAGAGCTCCGTCGAAGATCAATGATTTCGAATGTCGCAATTTCGGTTTAGTATCGATGTTTTTACCAATTAAAGCTTCTTTTCTTTATGTTTGATATTGACCTGAATCAAGCACATTATCAGAAAGGAAAAAAGAAACATGTTTCGAATTGCTTGCTCATCGAGTACTCTTGTTTGAAATTGATTGTGATCAGCTGTTTGACTTCTTATGTTTTGCATAATAGGTGCAAGAATGTTATGAACTTTCTGCTGAATATGAAGGGAAACACGATCCGAAGAAACTCGAGGAGCTCGGAAATGTGCTGACTAGTTTAGATCCAGGGGACTCTATTGTCATTGCCAAATCTTTTTCCCATATGCTTAATTTGGCTAACTTGGCCGAGGAGGTTCAGATTGCTTATCGTCGAAGGATCAAACTGAAGAAGGGAGTTTTTGCTGATGAGAACTCTGCAACCACGGAATCTGACATCGAAGAAACTCTGAAGAAGCTTGTGGGGAAACTGAACAAGTCCCCTCAAGAAGTTTTCGATGCCTTGAAGAACCAGACTATAGATTTGGTCTTAACTGCTCATCCGACTCAATCAGTTCGTAGATCTTTGCTTCAGAAGCATGCAAGGTTGACTTATGAGCTACTCTGGATTGTTTTTATGTTTATTTTTATAGTTGACTTATGAGCTAGTCGGATTGTCAGTTCCAGCTAATTGGGAAAAGCCAACTAACTCGTTCGTTCACTATGCAGGATACGGGACTGTTTAGTTCAGTTGTACGCCAAAGACATTACTCCCGATGACAAGCAAGAACTTGATGAGGCACTTCAGAGAGAGGTGAAAATCGCACTCCTATTATCTGTCGCTGCTGTTTTGTATTTTCTTCCTCTAACCTGATAAAGAACGCTCGAGTGTCTGAATTTGCAAACTGCTATCTATTTATTATTATTGGAAATCATACTTGATAGATGCATGCCACTGGAAACAATAATTGATAGATGTTGCAACGTGACTTGGTATAATTAACTGAACACGACACATTCGAAACTTTTTGATCTTGACGATCATGAATGTTTGCCCTTTCTATTGTAGATTCAAGCTGCATTTCGTACTGATGAAATCCGTAGAACTCCTCCTACACCACAAGATGAAATGAGGGCAGGAATGAGCTACTTCCACGAGACAATTTGGAAGGGTGTTCCTAAATTTCTGCGCCGTGTTGATACTGCTTTAAAAAACATAGGGATCGATGAACGTGTTCCTTATAATGCACCACTAATTCAGTTTTCATCTTGGATGGGTGGTGACCGTGATGGTACGTTATCTTTTTCTGCACTGATGATACCTCTGGAAATTGTAGCTGCTTCTAAGTTATTAGCTTTTCGTTTGATCGGTCCACAGGTAATCCCAGGGTGACACCGGAGGTTACAAGGGACGTCTGTCTTCTTGCTAGAATGATGGCTGCTAATCTGTACTACTCACAGATTGAGGATCTCATGTTTGAGGTATTTACACCTTTTGCATTATGCAATAGGCAATGTAAGGGACCATACTCATCATATTTGTCTGCAGTTGTCTATGTGGCGTTGCAGTAGTGAGCTTCGTGAGCGTGCAGACGTGCTTCATAATTCATCAAGGAGAGATGCAAAACACTACATAGGTAATCAATCACGACGTCTGTTCTATAATAGAAGAAAACGAGTTTGTGAATGCATTTATTTTTGCTGCGAAATTTATCTCATAGAGGAGATCATAAGTTTGGTGGTAATGAATTTAGATTCTTTTTTGGTTGTATAGAATTTTGGAAGCAAGTTCCTGCCAATGAACCCTACCGAGTGATTCTTGGCGACGTAAGGGACAAGCTTTATCAGACGCGTGAGCGTTCTCGCCATTTGTTAGCTAATGGATATTCGGACATCCCAGAGGATGCGACTTTTACAAATGTTGAGCAGGTTACCTCTTCTTGGATCTTCGAAGTGCCTTTTTTTCTTTTTGGCACGATGATCGTTTCATTAAACGCAAATATTTGATACTCTTACCACTGAACTGCATAGGCAGATTACTTATAAAGTCATGAACATTTCCCAACTTTTGCAGTTCTTGGAACCTCTTGAACTATGCTACAGATCCCTCTGTGCTTGTGGTGATCGACCGATTGCTGATGGCACCCTTCTTGATTTTTTGAGGCAAGTGTCCACTTTTGGCTTGTCACTTGTAAGACTTGACATCAGGCAGGAGTCGGATCGTCACACTGACGTTTTGGAAGCCATTACTCAGCATTTGGATATTGGTTCCTACAAAGAATGGTCCGAGAAACAGCGACAAGAATGGCTTCTATCGGAACTTAGTGGCAAACGTCCTCTTTTTGGTCCTGATCTTCCTACAACTGAAGAAATATCTGATGTTTTGAACACGTTCCATGTCATAGCGGAACTTCCTTCTGATAACTTCGGTGCATATATCATTTCCATGGCCACTGCTCCGTCTGATGTTTTAGCAGTTGAGCTATTGCAGCGTGAGTGCCATGTTACGCAACCGTTGAGAGTTGTTCCCCTGTTCGAGAAGCTTGCAGATTTGGAGGCTGCACCAGCAGCCCTTGCTCGCCTCTTCTCGATAGATTGGTACAAAGACCGGATTAACGGAAAGCAAGAAGTCATGATCGGCTACTCGGATTCTGGTAAAGATGCTGGACGGTTCTCTGCGGCCTGGCAGTTGTACAAGGCTCAAGAGGAGCTTATAAAGGTTGCAAAGCAATATGGTGTGAAGCTAACTATGTTTCACGGTCGGGGTGGCACCGTTGGAAGAGGAGGTGGACCTACTCATCTTGCTATTTTGTCCCAACCACCCGAGACAATTCATGGTTCGCTCCGTGTAACAGTACAGGGGGAAGTTATTGAGCAGTCCTTTGGAGAGGAGCACTTGTGTTTTCGAACACTCCAACGTTTCACTGCTGCAACGCTTGAGCACGGAATGCACCCTCCAGTTTCACCAAAACCTGAATGGCGTACACTGATGGACGAAATGGCTGTTGTTGCAACAGAAGAATACCGTTCCATCGTCTTCCAAGAACCACGATTTGTCGAATATTTCCGCCTTGTAGGATTTCTTCTGCAGACTCTCGTAATTTGATTCTCGAAATCTACATCGACTTTGAGATGTTTTTAACTTAATATTTTGTACTCAATGATTTTAGGCAACACCTGAGCTCGAGTATGGTAGGATGAATATTGGAAGCCGTCCATCAAAACGAAAGCCAAGCGGGGGTATCGAGTCACTTCGTGCAATCCCATGGATCTTTGCATGGACACAGACGCGATTTCATCTTCCAGTTTGGTTAGGCTTTGGAGCAGCATTCAAGCATATTATTCAGAAAGATGTTAAGAACCTTCAAATGTTGCAGGAGATGTACAACGAATGGCCCTTCTTTAGGGTCACCATTGATTTGGTCGAAATGGTGTTCGCTAAAGGAGACCCTGGCATCGCAGCGTTGTACGACAAGCTCCTAGTTTCGGAGGACCTCTGGCCATTCGGACAGCGCTTGAGAGCCAACTATGAAGAAACAAAGAGCCTTCTACTGCAGGTAAATTTTGGCCATTTTCCGTTCAATCACACAAGGTCTTCTTCATTCAATCATAGTTTAATCCTTGTACTTTATAGATTGCTGGACACAAAGATCTTCTTGAAGGGGATCCTTACTTGAAGCAAAGACTCCGTCTCCGTGATTCATACATCACGACTCTGAACGCTTGCCAAGCATACACGCTGAAACGAATCCGTGATCCGAACTACCATGTGACAGTGCGTCCACACATTTCAAGGGAAATAATGGAAGCAAGCAAATCAGCAGACGAACTGGTGAAGCTGAACCCGAAGAGCGAGTACGCACCTGGGCTAGAGGACACTCTGATCTTGACCATGAAGGGTATTGCTGCTGGAATGCAGAACACTGGTTAAGCTAAACAGGAGGAGAGCAGCATGAAGGGTATGCTGCTGCTCATAAGTTGTTTGTTTTTGCTGGTTTCGTGCAAGATAAAAGTGTTGGCATGAAAGAAAAAGGCTCATAATTATGCAATCAGAAGTGGATGTTGTTTAAGTTAATCCAGCTTTTGGTGAGGAGTTGTTGAGTGACTGTGACCGAGTGCTTTGCTGCTGCATGATCAACACTACTGTGGCCCAAATAGTAGAGTGGCACAGTGGATTATGTTGTTGCCTTGCAAGGCGTTTGAAGTTTAAATAATTGCATTAATGCTGAAGCAGTCCTTTTGTGATCCTTTTTTCTTA